GTCATCATTAGTTCTAATATAAATATTCTTTAAACAAGTTACTTTTATACCTTACTTGTTTTATCTCGAGTATAATTCAAAAAGTACGTGATATTTTTCATAGCCTCTTTACGTCTTCGATCTTTCACGTATCCCAAAGTATATACAGGATGTTAATATATTCGTGGAACAATATTCTAGAGGCACATAAATTTCGTCTTGCTTCATCTAATGCAAACTTCAATTGTGCATGACTTAATAAACAAGCCTGACATTTTTGCATATCGACCTTTTGACCTCTAGAATATAAACCTTTCAAACGTATAAATACATTAACACTCGAGTGTGTACGTATAACAATATGTACTTCTTCGTCCTATAAATTCATTAACATTTGCATTATTATGAAATTATATATGAAATCGACGGTCTTTATCAATGATTTTATTTGATCTCTCCGAAAGGTAAAATATTCCTTTCAATTTAAATAAACCACGATGTACTATGCCTCCAGTTTCAATGAACCTGACTAAATATAGTGACAGCAATGAATAATTTAATCTAGATCTAACATTGCCTGTCCTTAGTTTGCAATTAAATAGAACGGTTGGCGAGCACTTACTTGGAAACGTAATCGATCTTAGAATTATTTTCATTTCACAATTTCTCCTATACGTACTTGCGATATGTGTATACATTTTATTTATATATTTTTATTTTTGTATCATTAATTTACATTTATCATACACGTATGTGACAATACACATGTGCCACACTTTGGTATTCGTTTATTTTTTATTTATAGAATATTAAAGAGAACGAATATTTATAATTGTAATTTACACCATTGATTTTTCGAAAATGATAAAATTGAACGTATAATTTTAATCTTGAATTAAATAAAGGGATATTAATTATATTCTTTTAACGTGGAAATGTTTTCATTCGTTTGAAAATTAATTAAAATTAAGTGAAACGTCAATTATGTAAAATTAAAATGCGTTATCGGTGACCTCAATCACTGTACTTTTACAAAATGAAACAACGAAAATGCAAAGGTGTACATTATTCTTATTAAAGCACATTTTAATAATCTTTCCTTTTCGTAATGAAAAATTTTATCTATCGAATGAAACATGAAACATCGACAGTTGAAAATCCATTTTACCTAATAAATAAATAACATCATCGATACAATAATATTAATGGACAAATAAAAAAATTTCCTTAATTTGAAAAATTCATAATTTATCATTTCTTTCAAATCATATATAATTTAAAAATTACGATGAAAAAAGAAGCGTGTAAGACAAGATCGAACCGTTTCAGAAAGATGTATATTTTTCACCAAATATCTTTTCAAAGACCAAGATGGTGGTGGATACGATGAACCTTCAGGAAAATCCAGATTCGAGTGGACAACACAACAAGATGGTGGAAACACGTCCGACTGACCAATGGAATAATTTGATAGACTCGTATTAGCCTGAATTCCGACAATCCAGTTAGCTACCCTAACCCTGATCCAGCCTCGTCCTGAATTTAAAGCAATTGACGCGAACTGGAACACGCTGTGATAAACTAACGTTTCCGATAGGCTTCCTAAGACAGGTCGAACCTCTGGCATCCTCTGGAAAACTGTACAATGCCCGCAGGTATAATGACTCCGTCGGTAAATCGAACTTGGAGATTTCGTTATTCGATTATCTACTCTCTTTTAATCGATAATTCCGGATTAAAATAAATAAAATTCGAGGAAAGGAGATAGATGAAAAGAAATCTTGTTTGAAAATTTGATCTGATTGATTATTATTAAGAATTGCGTTATGGGATTAAAAATATTTTCACTCGAACTTGAAATGAGTTTATTATTATTAGTTTTACGTTTATTTTTATTGATGTGGAATATTCCGTGCAGGATAAGATTTTTATGAACAGGATTAGAGAAATGGAGCTTAAAGAGAGATTTGCTTTTAAATGTCTATAAATGTATTATACTTTTAATGTTTTGTGCTTTTTTTCTTATATATATGTATGTATGTAGATTAATAAAATTTATATAAAAAGTTTTCTTTTTATTTTTAAAAAAATAATGATCCTCGTGAGGATCCTTATGAGGATTCATACTCTCTGTTTGTAAAATATTTTATTTTTATATGAATTTAAAAAACAGTGTAGATTAAGTAATTATAGCAATATTAGATAAATCAATTGGTATTTTCAATCGTTTAGATTATATGGATTTGAAGAAGATAATGTAAATGTCACTATTTTACGTGATTCGATGAAACATATGAAAATTTATATTTTAAAATATAAAAAATATTCGAGATCGAATATTTTCGAAATGATTGAATATTAATTTTTTATAGATTCGATAATTTATTGATAAAAGATGAACACAATGTTGCTTGTGATATAAAAGTTATAAAAATAATTTGTAACTGTCAATCTTTTCCTTTAATTATTTTAATCCTTCATGATATCATGCAATTTCATAAGACTGTTTAAACTCTAATTAAATAAAATTACCACTTTTAATACGATCAAACTATAATTAATTTAATATCGCGTGTTTCGCCTGATAGTTGCATTTAAGAAACTTAATTCAATCTTAGATAATCTTTTAGAACAGAAGAAAACAAAAAAAATATCATTTTACTAAAATTTAGACAAGTTACAAAAAGAACATCATAGAAACAGAGAATGTTATCTTGATTTTTCTTTTTTTTTTTTGTATTCTGTTTATTTATTATTATTTTATTTATTTGATATCACGAAAAAACGATTTAGTTCTCACGTTAAATCCATAATTTCATGAATAAAAAATATATATACGTGTATTAATTAACTTTTATAATTTTATATCAATTCGATAATTAAAGTAAATCGTTTTTCGTTCGATCAACTCTTTGTTTAACAAAACGACGTCATTTTAAGAAATGATAAAAGTAAAACTCTCTTACATAGCACAATTGTACAATATATATATATATATATATTATTCTGAGAATGCTCAGAATTTTATAAATAAATATCAGAATCGTTCAAAGTTCATTTCTCTTACTTTCCTCTGAACTTTGTATTACAAATGTCAATCCAAGTTATACGAACACATTGTTTGCCGCTCAAATCGTCCGATTCATATTTGATATTCGAGAATAAACGAGGCGCGCGGATAATAATGGAACGGAATCGAAGATTACGACTCACGTGGCAAAATTTTCCTTATTTTCTTTTAGAAATGTTTGTCGAATCGCAAAGGTATATGGAAATAATTTGCGTTCAAATGGCTTTTGCTCAAAACGGATCGTTCTATCGTTCGACGACAAATGACACAACACGATAGAGAACGAAAGGTGAAGTATGAATTTTTAATTCCTCGATAAGCTCCATACGTGGAAAGCAGAATTGTCGTGACTTGTAATTTAAAAAAAAAAAAAAAAAAAAATTTGAAAGAAGGAAATATAAAATTCTACTTGAATTTTCGCAACGACGCGAAATGAAACTCGGTTAAATTTTCATTAAAATCAAAAAATGATCGAGTAGAAATTTAATCACGTTATAATACAAATAATATCGTTCAAAAAGAATGTTGTAATTTATGCAGATTCTAAATGCTATTAGAAAAATCATAGAGAAATTCTTTTTCACTAATAGCAAAAATTAAATAACGTTATTGGTACTGATATATCGATTCCATCATATTCTCATCAAAGAAATTTACTCTTTTTTTTCTTTTTATTACAAAATTTTTGTTAATTGGAAAGAAATAGAAAAGGAATCTTTGTAAATTAATTGAATAAATAGATATTATAATTTTTTTTAATATTATTTCTATTTGAACAGATTATTTGTTAATAACAAATACAACAATGAATTTACGATTAAAAAGGGAACCTTTCGATTTTTTATTGCCACTTCGATTCTAATTTATTTGGTGGATAAACAGGTTGTCGTACATCGTTAATTAAATTATCGAACGTATTAAAATTTGTTGTGGCAAATGTCGAATAACGCGAGTAGCAAAACTTTTGATAGCACATGTACTTTAATCAGGTCACCAGATTTCTATACCTTCTCTTTTCGTCTTCTTTAGAAACTACACACACATACATACACACACACACATATATATATAGCACACACACCTCTTGAACATTTTCTGCAAATCTAGACATCAGCATTTCTTGCAGCAAACTACCTGATGTTGTGCCGGTAATATTCGAATATGATTCAAGATTCAAGATTCTTTCTTCAAGCAGTTTTTACGATTGCGTAAAAAACTCGCGTAACGATTTTTAAGAATTTAGAATGGCAATCTATTTTTTTGCCTAGTTTTATTACTTTATTTCTCAGTATGTAATTGAAGAGTAATTGAACACAGAGTGTTCAATATAAATGTGATTACTTGGTGTAAAGAATTGGTTATTATTTTTTATATTTCCTTTGCTTGATGCTGTTCGCCGCAATTTCTTCTCCAATTTAAAAAATTCATTAAAAATAATGTAATAAACGCGAATCTACAATCAATGATACAAGTTTTCGTATGTTATCTCGAAAGAAAATTTATCAATTTTGAAAAATTTGATTTTAGTGAAAATTTGCATACACAAAAATCTTCTTTAATCAAACTTTTCATAATATTCAATATATATTTCAATAATAAAATCTTCTCACATTTCTGTAATCCATTATGATCTATAATCATAACGTTTCACAAAACGAAATTATTAATTTCGATAACACAATTTATTAATTTAATCTCATAATCTTTTGCAGCTGACTGTAATTTAAATTTAAATTTCATTTTTTTTCTTTTTATTCAAAACTATACGTATCCTACCTTCCCTTCTATTTTATTTATTTCGTAACATTTTACCATTTTTTTCGCATAAAAATCCTTTCCAAAACTCGTCCAAAATTCCAAACCAACTAACCAAATTCATCATTCATCCATTCGCATCAAAAAAAAAAAAAAAACAAATTTTTTGACATGCAAAAAAATAATCTCGACTCACCAAGCATCTTGACACCTTGAACAGGACTAACGGGATAAAAATCGCCGTGAAGAGGGCAATGGAAGCCGACCCTGCGCTCCCTTCTTCTCGCCCTTCTGGTGAGCATGCAGAGTAGCACGCCTAGGGCGAGCATAAGGGCGCCCACGACTATACAAATAGGTCCCAGGATCCGCGAATTTCCTGTGAATGCGATCCTAGCCGCGTACGAGTCCTTGTCCTCGTCCTCCCCTGGCCCACGATACGACGCAGCTGAAACAAGCAAGCAAGCAAGCACGTGGATTTGAAGCGTGAACACCAGACGTCCGCCATTAATTTTCCTTACGCTTTTTTTCTTTTTTAATCAATTTTCTCCTACTTCCTTAAATCTATTAAATTAAATTGGAAATCTCGTTTGCACGAATTTTTGACGAGGATTTGCACTATGGATTTTGGCCAGGTTTCTTTTATTTTTTTTTTTTTTTTTTCCTTCGTCCCATTGTCTTCCTTTCCTTCCTCGCCATTTTCAACCGTCTTATTAATATTTCAAATTTAATCTAGCCGGAGTGCTCGCGGCTAAGTTCACGCTTCTGTGGATGGATACGGCTACGTTATATTATCCATCGTTGTTGTGGTTGTGTAGGTGTGTAACAAGTACAGGTATAAGAAGTTATATCAAAAAGGTTAGGAAGAAGGAAAGGAGAGAGGGATATAGAGAAATATAATTTTTCATTTGAATAAGTGGATTTTCTAATTTGATGAGATATATATGGAATGGAAGGGATATTGTTTGCAAATTTTTGGAAATATGTGGAAGACAAAGGTTTGACAAAGTTTTCTTGGGATTAAAGATCAGGTGCTAAGTGGAGAAAGGGAACGAATAATGAAAGTGGAAGAAGGATGCATGTGTTTGTACGGAAGGAAACGATTATTTTCACACGCATTTTCGTGGTATTTGTCACGTATATTAATCTGATTGTGACAGAAAAAGGCAATAAAATTTGTATCCAAATCATCATAACTTTTTTTATTTCTGATAATATGCAAAGCTAATTATGAATTGTAATAATAATAATTTCTAAATGTAATTTTGTAATTGAGATAATAATCGAGTAGTTGAGATAATAATTGTATGAATAAACAAGACAAATGTATAGATACATTAATATTAAAATAATTCATAGTTTCGAAAATATTTCAGATTTCAGTCTTAGATGATTATTGTAATAATAAATGAAAACTAATTTTTACGATTTTGAATATTCAAATTATAGCTTTTCTACTATTATGTAGTGTGTGGTGTCAGGATTGTCAATAAAGTATCCAAGTCGTTTACTTTTGTTGAAAAGAAATTTATTCTTTGAATTAATATATTCTTTTTTCGAAGAAAAGAATAATTGAAAATATTTCAAATGTCAATATCAAATTTACATATACAAAATATTAATATTAATATTTCAAATAATTACTTGTAATTATATCTTAAAAATTTATTTAAAATTCAAATTTTTCCATATATTTGTTTATCATTATATAAATCTTTAAATATCATCTCGTTTCAATAATTGTTTTTAATATTTTTTCGTATGAATACTGTATTCAATAGATCATGAATCATTCAAATAATACTTTTTATTCAAATTAAAAACAAAAATGAATACATCTTTTATTAAATATACATAATATTTCCATATTATTGGTGTCCAATGTTTTTTTAATAAACTGTTTAAATTTAAAAAAAAAAAAATAGAAAAAGCACAATTTATAATGATAATCACGAAGTGATAATGTCACGATTTATATTTTTTTTATATTTCATGATAAATACATAGTTATTACATGATAAAATAGCAAATAAAAAAATTTATGTAATCTCATAATTCGTTATTGAAAATTTATCAAACGAAAAGTCCAAAAGTTCTCGTGCATTCGTTAAATCTTATCGTGTAATAGATTATTGATTTCCTTATTAAAAAAAAAAAAAAAATATGAAAAAAATAACCATGACAATTGTCATTTCACAATTAACATTGTAAATTTAAAAAAATTTATTCTGATCATTGTGTAACAAAGCAATGAAACTCTTTATCTTTTACATTTTTAAAAAAAAAAAAATCTATTGTAAGAACGTAAACACGCGATATATCAAGTATTCTTTAAAGTACAATAGAATATCGATTATCGTCGATTATTCGAAGTTTGATTATTCAAATGACGGACTATCTGAACACGAGATAAGAACATATTTAAACTGCCATCCAAACTATCGAACAATATTTACATTGCGAAAAAACTAAATTTTTTGAGGAATTTAAAAATTTTTTTTGAAATTAATCTTTAAACTTGTTTAAAAAAATCTATTTTTTAAAATAATATAAAATTAAATTAATAATAATATTTGAAATGAATTATTTCATTTTAATGGAAATAACTGTTCATTAATATGCAGAGTTAATGTTTCTTACCAACATTATTACTTATTTAATTTTTTATTCTATAATATTCTCTAATATCATTCGATAAACAAAATGGATATTATTATTATTTTCTTAAACAATCAATTCTCCAATACAATATTTACTTCACCAAATAAACGATTAACGATTATTTAAAATAATTTTCTTAAATAAATTATTGTTTGAAATAAAAAAATTTTTTACATATAGTATATATAGTATAAAAACGATTAATTTATTTTTTTGTAATTTCTTTAATTATATATATTTCCCTTACGTAATTCTCACAGGAAACGTGTCATCATAATTCCCACGAGAATCTCAATTTCCATTAAGATTAGATTTTCCTCGAAATAAAATTCGAACGATAAAATAAAGATTACAATTTCCGTGAGATTTAAAATCGCCCACGTAAAAAAAAAAAAGAAAACGTTCCCGGTTAGATAAAATCTCTAGGATTCCGCCATTGCATCCCGTTTAATTGGTTTATGTTTAAGGTTAGGTTAGGTTTAAGTTCAGACTTGCAGTGGTAAACCGGTAAATCCGCGGAAGCCATCATCTCGAGCCAGAGAAGAAATTCGAAAATCGTTGGAAATAAGGATTTGTTGCAACGAAAATTTTCTCCACGCTTTCACACCTTTTCTCCGTTTAACCGGAACGTACGACGGTAGATGTTGCTATCGTGAGTCGTTCAGAAGGATGCTTGCAACGAGAAATCATAGAGTATCAAGCTCGAGGCGAGAATAATATGGAAAAATTCGAGAGATTGGATACAGGATAAACTCGCCTGCGTTCAATACCGACTTGATACGTTATATCTATTTATATTATCGAGTAACGAAAAAACACCTATTATATTTCTTGTAACAGGAAACAGAGATCCGAAAGATTGTAATAGGAATCATTTAATTCATTGAAATCGCGCTTCTTATTTTTTTTTAATAATAAAAATAATAATTAGTTTATATGGATGTTTATATATGGATGGTTGAAAGATAAAAAAAAAATTTACAATAATAAAATTATACATGTGATAAAAGTATATCTGCACATTATTATTTATCATTATTTACTTGATATAATTTAGGTAAATATTTCTACATAATTATAAAAGTTTGAAACTGTGAAAATGAAATCTAGAATTTGATAAAGAAGAATGTGTAATCAGATAATAAAAAAAATTTATGCAATGTATTATTAAGGGAATATAGAATTATATAATATTTATTTAAAAAATTGCTATTTCAATTTTAACAATCGACACTAGCGCCACGTAACTATTAATTATTAGTATTCAATATACTTATACATTTATTTATTCGCATGCATTTCTTCAATTATTCGTTATTTCTATTTTTTTTTTTTTTTTGTTTTTTAAGAGTTGAACATTATTATAATTTTCTTCATTAAAATTCATTCTTTAAAAATTTCAAGTAATCAAATATGCTTTTTAACATAAAAATTCTTTTTTTTTATTTCTTTTGAAATAACAGTTTGTATTAGGCAAACAATTTTTTTATCTTTTGTTATCTATACTATACTTCAATACACATCATGAACATAAAAATATTCTAAATATCGAAGTTTAATCAGTTGTTAAAATATTTTTGTGCCAAAAACTTATTATCATAAGTCATATTTACCATACGTGATCTAACATTCTTAACTTAGAATCAAAATATCTTTGCTGTTGATTCTTTTCTCAAAAATATTGCACAATTCCAGCAAATAATTCCATAATTCTCTTTACAAACTACTTCTTTACACTTAAAAAATTATCCAGCACCATCAACAGAGATGATAAAAAGCAAGTATTACAAAAAAAGCATCTTTGTCATTCATTGACAATCTATCAAAAACTCCCAATCTAAGAAAAATTGTCAGATTGCAAGAAGAGGAAGAAATTATTATTTCTTGCGAATAAAGCAATTGTTCTCTACATTTTTTTCTTTCCATGGAAAAGGAAGAAGTGAAAGAAAACAGGAATACTTTCTTTCCATCATAGGAGACATTCTATCGAAACACACCGATTGCTCTTGGAAACTGATTGCACGTGTGGAAAACTGTGTGGGAGAGTTTCGAAGGAACTTTCTTGGGAGCAAGTTGCGGAGAAAGTCATTCTTCTATGCCGCGATCTTTATAAGGGAAGAAACTCCGTGGAAAGAGGAGGAATGTCGTGGCCAAAGTGAGGGGCACGTAACCCGTTCTTGATTTCATTGTACGCGAAATCTGAACGTGGATCATTGTACGCGTAGGCAGACGAGAAACCGTTCGTTCGTTTCAATTGAAAGATTAATATATTCAACTGTGTGAGTTTAGCGCGCGTGGAGGTTGAGGAAGTGGGTAGAAAATTTAAGGGGGTAATTCTAGTGACTGGAAGACAAATGTAAAACTTGGAAATATAAAAATGGAAAGATATATTTATATGCAAAAAGATCGTTTATTTTTTAAATTGTGAGCAATTTAATTTTTGCATTTTGAAACGAAACGAAAAAGTGAGAGATCCTTCTATCTCTGTAACATTTTATCTCTGTCTGATTATATTTGGTGGAAAATTATATATTGCTTGTAATTAAGAGAAATAAATTTTGATGTATGGAACAATTCTTGTTTTAATTCATCCTTGAAATTTGAAATCTGCTTCTTCTGAACAGTACATATCTTAGATTAGAATGTGTATTTTCGCAATATTTCTATGATATTGAGACAAATGTAAGAGGAAAATTATAGGTAACCAATAATATTCTGACGATTTTGTTTCTTTCCTTTTTTTTTTTTTTTTTTTTTTATGACATAAGAATATGAAGAAACATTTAT